GCTACCACAAACAAGTCTAGATTTTGCGCCGAACCCTTCTTCAGCCTGAAATGTGCTCTTACGCTCTAACACAGAAGAATGAAGCAGTGTGGTTACAATACCACTGATCAGGGGCATATCTCGACTTTACAGAACTGATCACCATTTTGGGCCTCTATAACTTTCAATTTTGGAAACTTCTGTTTCGAATGTTAAGTAATATGTTTACTACCTTCACAGTCTCCCATTTGTGGCAAATGCGTCCCTTGAAAATGAATGATGTGGATCAGTCACAACGAAGAACTTCTCGTCAAGTTAACAAAATGACTGGACAGCAGCTTGTCCCTCGAGAGGAAACTGGCTTTCAAAACTCTGCGTGGCACACAGATTTTGAGGGTGTATTATGTATGGGCGTCCATCGCATTTCATTTTTTACTTCGAAAACATGGATACTCATCCGTCACCAGAGCGCTAGTTCCCAAGAGCATTTATCCAGACTAAGGCTTTTAGAGGTGGCTTCTTCCAAAAGGTGCTTGGAGCAGGGCCAAAAGCATCTAGAGTCCTTGCTCAGCATGCACCACTTTGCTATTTCGAACAAGTTTACGATTTTGTGCCTACAACAATTGCGGCTGGACTTCCTGCTCAAGCATCTAGCCACTGAAGAAAATATCTCTGCTAAACGAATATTTTCTCGATGGTAAATACTGAGCAAAACTGAATTAGTGAGCTGAAAAATCAAGACTGCCCTTCTCATTCACTGCTCCTCACTTCATCCCCTCCTTATTTTCTTTTTCCCAATGCAGTGCCTTGTTCTCTGATCTTGTAAATGCAATCCCGAAGAACCCGGAAGGAATTTTAAACACTATCTGTCTGCTTTTACACGAAGAATCAATACATTAAAAAAAATTGCAGAGAAAGTACATTACGCTCGTGCATATGTCTATCAGCCCACCTTATCCAGCTCCTGAACTATGACAATTAAGAAGCTGACCTTTGAAAAAAGTTGCCTCCAGCCACTATCGAAAACATAAACCCGAATTCAATAAATTTTTCTGCGTTTTGAACAGTTATCAGAAATCCAAATTTGGATATCTGATAAATAATCAAAACTTAGAGTATCGCAAACAGAGGCCTTTCTCGAACGAAAGAGGATCGAACTACTCCGGACGCAACGTGTTATCACTACACCAACGGTCTCCATGCTCTACATAATTTGGAGATATGCTGTACCCATTTGTACACGCATACTTCTTTTGTCGGCTTTTTGCGGGACTTTCGTGACACAGAGGGTCAAGAACTTGCTGAAATAATTATTTACTACCAATATTCAGACAGGTTTGATGCAGCGGCAAATACCCCCATCACAGTTTTTAGCCCTTGCTTCTAGTAAGTCTACGAGAAGTGATTTTTCTCATAATTTTTCTGAACAGATTAATACTGTCGCATCTAGCATGCTGTGTGACAACTTTCAGCCAATTTCCAGTAAATTTTCCAGCATGGTACCCCTCAAGAACTTGTCTGATTGGCACTATAAAACAGTAAGCAAAAGCAGCGCCGTTGTGG